GCATATACACCTCTGACGGACTATAGGAAATTCTATAGACAAGATGTAAAAAGCTTAGTTTGTTTTTAATGTATTGAAATTTAACACCTCAACTTTTCAAAATAAAACATTGTGTATGATTAAGACTTTTATATGTGAAAATATATATAATATACACCTCTAATGGACTATAGAAAATTCTATGGACAAGATGTAAGAAGCTTGGTTTGTTTTTAATGTATAGAAATATATTTAGCACCTCAACTTTTTCAAAATGAAAACATTGTGTATGATTAAGACTGTTTTTTTTTTATAACAAGTGTATGATTAAGACTGTGTTATATGTGAATATATATATATGTGTGTAAGTTAGTTTCCAAGTCGGAAAATAATAAAGAAAATCAGTTTTTTTTTAAGTGAAAGAAAAAAGAAAAATACTTTGGGATATCTTCTTAAGCTTTCATGACTCCTTTATTGGATTATCTCCCTCATCTTTGTTGCAGTAATCCTTCTAACAAAGCTCATTCTTTTTAAACTTCATAACATCCTATACATACAGAAGACTGTAAATAAGCAACCTTCTAACAAAACTCCTTCTTTTAAACTTTATAACATCCTATAAATACAGAAGACTGTAAATAAACAACCTTATAACAAAGCTCATAAACATCCTATAAGAGAACACTGTTGTAAATAAACACAAAGTTCATTCTTTTATATTCATAACTAAGAGAATGTGTTACAGAAAGCTAATACCTTTATGCAGTTTCCTAAGTAATAACATAATGCTATCAATTGAGTAATCTGCCTAGCCAATCTACTGTTGTAAATAAACACAAAGCTCATTCTTTTAAATTCATAACTAAGAGAATGTGTTACAGAAAGCTACCTTTATGCAGTTTCCCAAGTAATCACAGAATGCTAACAATAGAGTAATCTGCCTAGCCAATCTACCATGTCCACTCTGTTCCGACATGAAAAGGGCGAGTGTAAGACTAAAGTTTCATACTTTTCTAGTGAAGAAAAAGTTTTGAATGTTACCTAGAAGAGCAGAGGCAAGAAGGCAGTGTAAATGAGCACACGATAGCCCTGTGAAGAAAGCATCCATCACACTGTTCTGATGTTTCTGCAAAAAGAAAGAACCCTTATTAGTTTTAGAGTTTCAAAATGAAAAGTCAATCAAGTATAGACTCTGCTCTTTGGATTTGATTAATCACCTGAATTTCGAGAATGAGGGGAACGCCAGCCACCGACGATGGTTGAACAAGAGATCTAAACTTCTGGGTTAGTCTGCTCTTAGCTTAGTGACTAAAGGGAAAAGAGTTAGTGACGCTATAGGATCTTCTCTGTAAGGCAGTACGCCATAGCTTTGCTCGAGAAGAAGCAACAAAGTAATAAGAGTTTTATTTTGTTTGGTTTCTGAACAAAGGAGAAATGTTGATGTTCAAGGGAAAGCAGAGACTCGTATTTATAGAAGAACAGATGTTAATAGTCTAACGGTCATATTTAGTCGATTGAATAAAAGAAAAAAAGGAAATTGAGCACAAAGTTTTCTTACAGTCTAACGGTCATATTTAATCTTACCGTGTAATAACAACAACGTCATATTTTATTTTACTGTGTAATAACAACAACAGTCATATTTTGTCGATTAAATATTTATTATTTGTTTTTGCCAAAGAAAAAAGGAAATTAAGCACAAAGTTTTCTTACAGTGAACGGTCATATTTTATCTTACCGTGTAATAACAACAACGGTCATATTTTATCTTACTGTGTAATAACAGCAGCAGTCATATTTTGTCGGTTAAATATTTATTATTTGTTTTTGCCAAAGAAAAAAGGAAATTAAGCACAAAGTTTTCTTACAGTGAACGGTCATATTTTATCTTACCGTGTAATAACAACAACGGTCATATTTTATCTTACTGTGTAATAACAGCAGCAGTCATATTTTGTCGGTTAAATATTTATTATTTGTTTTTGCAAAAGAAAAAAGGAAATTGATCACAGAGTTTTCTTACCGTCTAACGGTCATATTTGCATTAATCTTACCGTGTAATAACAACGGTCATATTTTACCAAAGCTGTGAAATTCTGGGTGACAATTTTTAATTTGAGTAACAACTATAGTTTTTTGTTTAGTCAAAACCGGTTAGGGTTTGGCTCAATTAGATTAAAAATACTTTCAATCGAATTGGTCTAAAAGGATTACATACTATAAAGGTTTACTATAATCTACAGTATTAATAAATAATATTTATATATTAAGACATATTTCCAGACAGTTTTGGTCGGCACGGCTCGAATTCGTCGGAAGTTTATATTTACATGTTTGTGTCATTGACTCTTAGTCGTCCACCTGTCGGATTTATTTACACACATCACATTATTTCATCCATGATTAATCCCTTTTCCCTTATCTTTCTGAGACTAGATCCGTTATCATAATCTAATTAGTCTAAAAAGGATGATTACATACTATAATAAGATCACTATATTAACAAAATAAAAAAATACTATAAAGATCACTATATAATCTATAGTATTAAATTATTAAATTATTAAATTAATATTATTACCAAGGCAAATTTCCAGACAGTTTTGGTCGGCAAGGCTCGAAATCGTCGGAAGTATATTCCATTCCTCTCGGTCGCTCTCAATTTATCTTTTTTGCATTCGTTCTCTGTCACTGACTCTTTAGTCTTATTGTTGACGATGACGATGATGACATCTCAGGGTGTAGATCATACGACGACGTTTTGGCTTCTTCTGGTGTCTCCATGTCTATTTCTTCCTCTACTAACAACCTCCGCGCGCCTCCGATCTCGGGTTAAGTGTACTCACTTTCTCGGCACTTCTTTTATGTGGTTATCTTCGTGATTATTTCTCTGAGCTTTTGTGGAGATTGAAGTAAAACTAGCTTCAGCTTGATGATATACTGTCTGAACTGATTTGGTGTCTCTTAAATATTTATTTCTTCGCTCGTTCAATAATCTTTGCTTAGTATTTGATTTTTTGGACTATTACATTCTCTTACCTGAGATTTGTTGCATCAATGGTTGGTTTCAACGTGAATCATTTTCTCTCGTTGTGCAGCTTCTCTAGAAAGGATACTAGAGGCAGTAGAACATACAAGAGCTAACAATGTGGTAAACTAAACTAAACTAAACAGCTGTGTTTGAACTCCTGTTTGCTTCTACAATGATAGGTTTGGTTTTAGACCAACTGATATTCTTACATTATATATACAGAGCTTTGATCAGACAAAGGAAAAGATTAGGAAGATGTTGGAAAAAGTGGAGCTTTCTGTTTCGGCCTATGATACTAGTTGGGTAGCTATGGTTCCATCACCAAGCTCCCAGAATGCTCCACTTTTCCCACAATGCCTGAACTGGTTACTGGAAAATCAACATGAGGATGGATCTTGGGGACTTGATGATACTCACAATCATTTATCTCTTAAGAAGGATATGTTATCATCTACACTGGCATGTATCCTCGCTCTGAAGAAGTGGGGAACTGGTGAAAGGCAAATAAGCAAGGGCCTAGAGTTTATTGAGCTCCATTCTGCTTCAGTCACTGATGAAACCATACAGAAACCAACAGGGTTTGATATTATATTTCCTGGGATGATTGAGTATGCTAGAGATTTGAATCTAGTGATTCCATTGGGCTCAGAAGTGGTGGATGCCATGATACAGAAAAGAGACCTGGATCTTACAAGGTATGCTCCTTCTCTTTTAGTACCATACTTAAGACGAAATTGAAAGTTCGTCTTGTACAGAACTCTTCATCTCAACAACGTTTGTTGATTAATGTTTGGTGGTCTGTGATAGTGAAAGCTTTTCAAAGGGAAGAGAAGCATATTTGGTCTATGTTTTAGAAGGAACAAGAAAGATTGAAGACTGGGATTTGGTTGGGAAACACCAAAGGAAAAATGGATCACTGTTTGATTCTCCAGCCACAACAGCAGCTGCTTTTACTCGGTTCAGAAATGATGGGTGTCTCCGTTATCTCTCTTCCCTCTTCCAGAAATTTGAAGCTGCAGGTCTGTTAATCAGCCCAGCGTTCATCTTTGGCTGTAAATTAAAGATTCTCACTGCTAATATATTTTCTCATCATTTTCAGTTCCCACAGTTTATCCCTTTGATCAGTATGCACGCCTTAGTATAATTGATACTCTTGAAAGCTTGGGAATCGATAGGGACTTCAAGAACGAGATCAGAAGCGTATTGGATGAAACTTATAGGTAATCTAGTCTAACAACACAAAATTCAATGTTGTATTCATGATTTTCTTAAACCATCATTGACCAATAGATGCTGGCTGCGTGGGGATGAAGAGATATGTTTGGACTTGGTCACTTGTGCTTTGGCATTCCGGTTATTAATTGCTCATGGCTATGATGTGTCTTATGGTGAAGTGACATTTTTCTTTCAGATGAATATAGCCTTAGATTTTTAGTCAACTGCATGTATTAAGCTGATACATTGTGTTTGTTGCAGATCCGCTGAAACCATTTGCAGAAGAATCTGGTTTCTCCAATACTTTAGAAGGATATCTGAAGAATACAGTTTCTGTGTTAGAACTGTTTAAAGCTGCTCAAAGTTATCCACATGGAACAGCCTTGAAAGAGCAGTGTTTGTGGACTAAGCAATATCTAGAGATGGAATTATCTGACTGGCCGGTCACCTCTGTTCGAGACAAATACCTCAAGAAAGAGGTAACGTAACCTCTTTTTCTAAACTATCTTCCCGTGAGAGGTAATCAAAATCTGAGAGGCTTATCCTGTTCAGGTTGAGGATGCTCTTGCCTTTCCCCCCTACGCAAGCCTGGAAAGATTAGATCATAGAAGAAAATTACTCAGAGGTTTCTGTGTGGAAAACAACACTACAGTTATGAAGACATCATATTGGTAAAATCTGATGTTCCATTCCTTTATTGTTTGTTTGATTAAACGATTAGGTCTCATTATTTTCCTCGTGTGTGCTAGTTTTCCCGATGTTTGCAACTCTGATATCTTGAAATTAGCTGCGGAGGACTTTAACTTCTGCCAGTCCATACACGGTGAAGAAATGAAACATCTTGATAGGTCCACTCTCAGCTTAACTTTATCACTTTATTCAATCTTCTTGCATAAGATAATGTGTTTTTATGAATATAATCCATTCACTCTGCTCACCAAACTGCAGATGGATTGTGGAGAATAGATTGCAGGAACTGAAGTTTGCCAGACAGAAGCTGGCTTACTGTTACTTCTCTGGTGCTGCGACCCTTTTCTCTCCAGAGTTATCTGATGCTCGTATATCATGGGCCAAAGGTGGAGTACTAACAACGGTTATAGACGACTTTTTTGACGTTGGAGCTTCTAAAGAAGAAATGGAAAACCTCATACACTTGGTTGAAAAGTACACATCAATTTGGCTGCTCTTTTGTTCCCAAGTAAAACGAACTATATAACATGTTTGTAGCTTATAAATTGCAGGTGGGATCTGAGCAGTGTTCCTAAGTACTGCTCTGAACAAGTCGAGATCATTTTCTCGGTTCTAAGGGACACAATTCTTGAAACAGGAGAAAAAGCATTCACCTATCAAGGGCGCGGTGTGACACAACATATTGTGAAAATTGTAAATACGAATCATACCACACTTACTATATGATCTGTTATCATTTCATGTCAATTCATCTGACCATAGTGAATTGGTGTATGCAGTGGTTGGATTTGCTCAAGTCTATGTTGAGAGAAGCAGAGTGGTCCAGTGAAAAGCCAACACCAAGCTTGGAGGATTACATGGAAAATGCGTACATATCATTTGCATTGGGGCCAATTGTCCTCCCAGCAACCTATCTGATCGGACCACCAATGTCAGAAGAAACTGTTGGAAGCCATGAATATAATCAGCTCTACAAGCTCATGAGTACTATGGGTCGTCTTCTAAATGACATACAAGGCTTTAAGGTAAAGACGTTTTAACTAAAATGCAGAGTTGAAAGATGGTAGCTGTAATGGTAGATTTGGGTTTAATGTTTTTGGCAGAGAGAAAGTGCGCAAGGGAAGCTGAACGCTGTTTCATTGCACATGATTCATGACCAAGACAATCGCAGCAAAGAGGAGATCATAGAATGCATAAAAAGTTTAGCAGAGAGAAAGAGGGAAGAATTGCAGAAGCTAGTTTTGGAGGAGAAAGGAAGTGTGGTTCCAAGGGAATGCAAGGAAGCCTTCTTGAAAATGAGCAAAGTGTTGAACTTATTTTACAGGAAAGATGATGGATTCACTTCACAAGATCTAATGAGTGTTGTTAAATCTGTAATGTATGAACCTGTGACCTTACAAGATGAGTCTCTAACTTGATCTAAGTTGATCAAACAGTAAAACTTTCACTATCTTTTGCTTCAGAATAAGAAAGAGGTTGACGTTAGATGTTCATGTTAGGATTGACTGATATTGAGAAATATTAAAAAAAATGTTAAAATAAATTAAAATGAAAATTGTGGCATGAGCAAGTAGTATGTGAATAACTCAAAACATCTCTCAAAAGCTTGGCCAAAGCTTAAAACGATTTCTTCTCATAAGAAACTAGACCGTGAACACCACCTTCGATCTGTGCTGCACCGGTTCGAGCCTATCACAAAAAAAAAAAAAAACAACAGCAGCATTAACACTAAGCTCAGCAAATCAAAGAGATCTTAGAAAGACAGTTTCATTCACCTCAAGCCTGAGGACGTTAGATCTCAACAGATCATGAGCAGATTGCAAGGAAGAAGCACCAAGGTCTTGGAAACCTTGCTTCACGGCGTGCATTGTGTAAGGTATCAACTTCAACACTGAGCCTTTATCCGCAACTGCTCCAACCACTCCTTGAGCAATCTTGAGGTTTGTTTTGTCTCCTAAGTATCTCTGATCACTTCCTTTAGTCATTGCTTCTAGCGATCCCATTCCACGGTACTTCTTGATCCTCTTGCCATTCTATCATTAACCACAAAACGATCAAAACAAGAAAAGAGTTAGCAAAACCGAAAGAGGATGTGATGATGATGATACCTTATACTCATAAGCCCCAGGAGCCTCAGTGCTACCAGCTAAGAAGCTTCCCATCATAACAGTTGATGCTCCAAGGACTAGAGCTTTTACAATGTGACCTGAGTTTGAGATACCACCATCCGCTATAACCGGAATCCCACTCTGAGCAGCAAGTGAACAAACCTTGTACACAGCAGTAGCCTATACAATGTCCAAATCACAAAAAACAGAGCGAATCAGTTAAGTTGAATAAATTCACAAAGTTAAGGATTATTCAGAGCTTTTCATTTACCTGTCCACGACCAACTGCACAAACCTCTTGTGTAGTACATATAGAACCAGATCCCATACCTACCCTCAACCCATCAACTCCAGCTTGAATCAAGTTCTGCGCCTGATAACTAGTCACAACGTTTCCACCAATCACATCCAACTCAGGATAAGTCTTCTTCACATACTTAATCATCTCAAGCTGGTAAATAGAGTTCCCTTGAGAACTATCCAACACCACAACATTAACCCCAGCTTTAACCAAATGCTCCAGCCTCTCCTTATCAGACTCCCTAGTCCCTATCGCTGCACCAACCATCCACTCACCGTCTGAACCTAAAGTCCCTGGTCCTGACTTAGGATACCCTCTAACCCTCTCTATATCGTCCTTTGTCACCACGTTCACAGTCTCACCATCTCTTTCGAGAACCACAAAGCCCTTCTGCTTATCTTCTAACAAAGCTTCAATCTTCTCGATGTCAATGTCATATGGTACACAATACTCGCTGCCTTCACAGCTCTTCATGTAGTCGTGTATCTTCATCTCTCTTTGCTCGTAGTTCATTTTTGTCCACTGTGCTTTCGTGACGTAGCCTAACAACTTTGGAACCGTCATTGTTCCTGCTTAAATCAAGTAAAGGTCAAAAGTTACTGACGAGAGGTAACAACTCAACCAATGGATTCACATAATGATATAGCAGAAGCTAAGCCAATGGATTCACATAATGATATAGCAGAAGCTAAGCCAATGGATTCACATAATGATAAAGCAGAAGCTAAGCCAATGGATTCACATAATGATATAGCAGAAGCTAAGCCAATGGATTCACATAATGATATAGCAGAAGCTAAGCCAATGGATTCACATAATGATATAGCAGAAGCTAAGCCAATGGATTCACATAAGGATATAGCAGAAGCTAGATAGATGAAAAAATCTAACGTATTTTTAGACTAAATAAGATCTTTGCATCTATCTAAGATCGCTACTTCAGCTCAGCCATTGGATTCACATTAGTGGATGACAAGTATTCTTAAACTAAATAAGATCTTTGCATAGCTATCTAACTAGACATAGCTCAACCATTGGATTCACATACAAACATAGACTAAATAAGATTCTTGCATCTATTCTAACTTTGCTACGTCACTTGCCTAGGTTCATGTCAAATCATTGTAACAGTGCAAAAAAAAAACAAGAATCTGATTCTGACCTGATTGCGTGACAAAAACGAAGGAAGAAGGACCAAAAGCATCCAACGAAGTAATCTCATACTCCGGGAGCTTCACGCCGGCGTCGGAAGCAATCGGATGCCGGAGAGACTTAGCCTGTCGGATCACCGACGCCTGAGAGGCGATGTCACAGTTATAGTGGACGATTCCGATCCCTCCAAGGGAGGCCATTGCAGCAGCCATGTGAGACTCCGAGACAGTGTCCATCGGAGAGGAGACGCAAGGTATCGAGAGGGGCACGCGCCGGCTGAGGCGCGTGGAGAGAGAGACGGCGTCTGTGGAGAAATCGATGTAGTGAGGGAGGAAGATGACGTCGTCGTAGGTGTAAGAGTATCCCTGAGAGAAGAGCTTCTCCGCCGAGAAACCATCTTCGAAAGAGGACATCTTGAGAGAGAGGGAAAGTGTGGCGGAGGTAGTTAGGGTTTAAGCTAGGGTTTTTGGGGGAGATTTCTAATTAAGGGAAGACGACAAGTTGAAACAAGAGTGCGTTTGTGTATTGTAAGAAAGATGAAGTTTAGAGTTTGTTTATATAGTGCTAATCATATTCGAACTTCTTCCTTTTTTTTTTCCTTTTTTTATTTTTGGAGAAAAAGGAATTAGATTAAGTTATTGTAATTCTATTTTTCCAAATTAAAAGAGTACCAAAACAAAGTAATTGCTTTTTATATAAGTCATAATTGGTTGTTAGCAATTCTTCTGAAATTTATATTAACGACCAGACATGATTTAATTAGTTGACAAGAAAGACTTGTTAGTAAGGAATCAAGAGCTTTTGCGCAAGTCCATACAGAATAAAATACCAAAACCTCAAGTGAAGTGGTTTCGTATATGCTTAACTCTGTTATCAATATCAGCATAAAGACATAACTAGCAGTGTGATAGCTAATGCGTCTAGTGTCTACCATAGTGCCCTCCTACTGGTGTAGATTTCTTTTAAACAGAAAAAGATGTTCTAACGAGAATTTATGATCATTACTTTATTTTCCAAGTTCCAATACCACTGCAACGGGAAAGAGATGTCTGTATATAAGTAAAGGAATCACTAGTGATAGCAGGTTTGTAGATGCAATGTACATGCAAGTTGGAAGTCTAGAAGGCCTAATTGCATTAGCATAAAGCAAAATACGAATTTAGCATAAGATTATTAGCTATGCGATTATGCCATTTTCGAGTAAATTAGTATTAGTAAAGACTTAAAAGGTTATAACTTACAAGTGAGAGACCCACCTAACATTATATATCATAACATATTTGATATTTATTCGTATCCACAAAAAGATGAAAAATTAGAAAAAGCAAGAGATGTCTTCAGTCTTCATGCATCAGAAGAAATCAAAATGGCACCCATTATAGCCTGTTTTCCATTAAAATAAGAGACAAAGTTAAATGAATATCGATATTTTCAGCATTTTCTTATAAGATAAAAAAGGCATACTCTGACAAGAATAATAAATTTATTTTACTTGGGTCGACGGTGACAAGCATGCCGGTCCCGCCGAATGTGCACGAGCCACCAGAACTTTTGGTTCTCTGCCAATAGCTATTGAAAGCAAATGAAGCATGAGCCCACAATGTATTAGGCTTAAAGCATGGTCCATTGGGTTGTATTGAATGGCAATCAGCTCCTGATCCACATGCAAAGTTCATGGCTTCTTGAATAATTGGGTCAGGCACTGTGGGCTTAGCCACACACCAGTAAGCGGAGGTCGGAGTTGCCGTAGACGGCGGTGGTACCATAGGCGGTGGATAGACAATCGGAGGTAAAAACCCTGATGACGGCGTTGGAACTGATCCGGTTGGGGATGGAAGATTACCGGACGGTGTAGGAGTGTTAGTTGGGGTTGATGGGCCTGGTTCGTTGTTGGGAGGACCTGAAATGGGTCCTGATGGGCTTGAGCCAGATTCAGGAGGACTAGGAACTGTTTCTGGCGGGTTTGGACTAGATGATTCAGGCGGATATGGGACTGTAACGGGTGGGTTTGGATTTGATGATGATTCTGGTGGGTTTGGGTTAGATGATGATTCAGGTGGACTAGGGATAGTAACAGGTGGGTTTGGGTTAGAGGAGGAATCCGGTGGGTTCGGATTCGAGTTTGGGTTTGAGGTGGAATCAGGTGGGTTTGGATTTGAGTTGGGGTTAGATGATGATTCAGGTGGGTTCGGGTTTGAGTTTGGGTTTGAGGTGGAATCGGGTGGGTTTGGATTTGAGTTGGGGTTTGAAGATGATTCAGGTGGGTTGGGTACAGTGATTGGGCCGGGAGGTGGGCTAAGTCCAGGATTGGAGATGGAGGGAGGTGAGTTTAGAGGAGTGTTTGGAGGATTAACACAAAAAGGAGGGGCATTTCCGGGAACTGGAAGTGGAGGAAGTGAAGCATAGGGAGGTAGAGTGAGAGTTGTGCTAACACCATAAGGTTGAGTGTTGGAGGATGTTGTTGAATATTCCAAAGGCTGTGCTAGATTGAGTTGTGTCATCATTTTCTCTAATAATGTTGTGTGCTTGAATGCTTTGATGATCAGCTTCTTTGGCTTCTTCTTTGAGTCTTTCTCAAATCTCACAAGCTTTCTTGCATCTACTACTCAATAAGAAAAAAAAAATACAAAAAGCTTTTAGAGCTCGAAATGAAAGAAGAAGATAGAGAGAAAAAGAGAGGTTTACCAGAGTGACTGAAGAAGCTGGCCGAGAGAAAGAGACAAAGGAGAATACATATGGTCGTGAGAGCTCTGTTTGATTCCATGGTTTAAGATGAAGACAAATGAGATGCCTTCAAAACTAAAACCAATGAGCTACACTGCAAGAAAGAGAAAGAAAAGAAACAGTACCAATGTAACTTGGATATCTGTCTTGTCTACTCTGTCTTTCTATATATATATCTTTTCGTGTGTGTGTGTGTGTGTCATATGCATGTGTAGAAAACAAAACACAAAACTCTAGAATCATGCAAGGCAACCTGTGGAAGGATATAAGGTTCTGTTGTCTTTCTCATAAAGATAATTGGTCCTTTAGCAGCTCACTTTGCTGTCTTCCAAGACTCACTTTACTTCAGAAATTAGATGTTTATATTCTTATAGCTAGTGTTAAAAAAACTATTTTAATATATTTAATTGATTTTAACAGTAAAGAAATAAGTTTAGTACAATAATATACATACATATTTATGAAAATGGGCATATATGCTTGCTTGCCGATGCAAATATAATCAGAGAGGAAAGTTGTTTTGTAGTAAACTTTTGCTTGCTTTGTACTCAAACAAAGCCCTTTATGTTTATCTTTTTCTTGACTACAACTATTTGCATAAGCTTCACACATTCTCATTAGATGCTCTTTTCTCTGGGATTAGAGAGGCGTGTGATAATAATATACAAATAGGAAAACTGATTCTCTTCATTCCTTTGATTTCTATTTTCATACAAGTTCTTTAATATACACAAACAAACTCTACGCAACTTTTAGACAATTTATCAAGTTCATTGGATTATTTGTTTGAAATTTGTTTATGAAAAGAATATAATGATCCCCAAGTGGTCCAGAAGATGGTCAAACACAATTAGGTGAATTCCTTGTTCTTAATAATAGGATAATCTCGTCATCGAAATACCATGATTATTTTTTTTTATAACTTTGACAAACATTATATTATGTCCAGTGTTAACGTATCACTTGATAAAGAGAAAAATGTTCAAGATTAGCTGCTACACCTATATCTCTTAACCTCAGAGAAGATGTTTTCATGTATCAACCAATGCTCATTCCTGAAACTCGAACAGAAAAAAACACGAATCTCGTTATATAATGAAAATGATTGCATATAGGGACATCGATCATATTAGCCATAACAGTTTTGAAAGCCAATAGAGAAATCTCTGAACCAAAGTCATTATCGGCAACGTACAGCGCTTTATCCACTATCAAGAAGTGAATCAGAGACTCTAAATTGTTGCCTTTTAAGATCACAATAAACAAAAGAGAAGATAATCAAACTAACCAAAGTATGTAAGGCCTTTTGAATGCACATAAACTATTTAAACTAGATCACGTACCAGAATATCAGCCTCATTGACTTTTGGCAACGTACAGCACTGTATACACTATCAACAAGTGAATCAGAGACTCTAATTTGTTGCCTTCTAAGAATAAAAAAAAAACAAGATAATCAAACTAATCAATGTATGTTAAAGGCCATTTGAATGCAAATGAAACATAACTAGGCTCAGGTAATATAAAGAAGTATACATCAACGAGCTGTGAATCTCTCAAAGTTTGATGGTAATCTTTTTTCATCATCACCGCCTAGTAATTCGAAGACAAAAAAGTGTAGAAATAGATCCAAAAGCCTCAGAAACTGGAGCATACAACTCATCAACGAGATAGACACTCAGATGGTACGGACAATCTCAAACATCATAGACCTGGATCTTAACGACAAAAAACTCTAAAGTCTATAACCATGACGTAGGACTATCGTAAAGAGGTAAAGGAAACAGTAAGAAAGGAGAAACGCTTTTGAATGATGGGTGTTAATAAACGGAAAAAGGTGGCTTATATAGCGACCATGTTAGGTTACAAGGAAGCCCTAATCACATGTCAAAGTATAGTCATGGGCCTCTAATATGTTTAAAGCACACTCAAATCGGCGCTAAGTATATTAATTAAACCCTTTTAACATTAGGCCTTTCAGATGTCCAATTAAATTTTAACAGGCGGTAACATTGGACTCACAGCATTTCCCAGTTGCATTTTTAACGGGCTATAAAAATTATTCAGACCTAAACCCTAAATGAACTTTTCCGTGATTAATTGCTCTCTAAGCAAACGTACGGTTATATTATAGCCCTAAAGAGCATTATTAATGTGAAGTGATCAAGGATGTATATATATGTTTTGAATCATCTGTGAACAAGTACATAATCTTAAGACATGGGTTTTACTTTTCTTTCTTGTCGGAAATCAGAAGAGGAACGTAAAGTCTCTAAGTACTACAAGAAGCAAGAGAAGCTGCTTCAGGGTTTCAATGAGATGGAGACAATCAATGAAACTGGTCTTGTCTCTGGAGCTCCATCTGAGGTTCCACTTTGTAGCAAAGGTTATGCTTCTGTAGTTCTGTGGAGAGTAGATCTATGACAGTGTGATTGCTTCAACTTTGGACTCTCTCTTTGATCTCTTTTCTATGGTTTACTGCAAACGCCATGAGTTTAGAGTTCATTCTTGATTTAATTAGTTTATTTATATTAGAAGATTAGCTCTGCACATAAACCAGTAAGTACCCATCAACTAGAAAATTAATTAAACATAATGTGAAAACAAAAATATATAATACATCTACCGATCAAACTGACAGGATACCATGTTTGATTAGTTTCACACTGTAAATATGCTTTCCTAATCAATCCTACAAAAACTCAGGCAAAGCCTTTACTAATCAAAAACTTTTAAAAGAACAAAATTCGTAAGATCAATTAGAGAGCAAATAAACATAATGTAAAAGCAAAACAAACATGTACCTCTAACGATATAAAAATATGACAAGATACCAGTTTCACATTATGCATTTATAGTTTGAGAATCAATCATTTAAAAAACATTTTTTAATGATTTTATCTAAGAAAATTTAGATCCCTAACTAACAAAAGATTATGTATATAAATAACCATAACAAAACTTAGGCTATAATATTTGAATAATAATTGCCTCGTTGTCCTTAACATACATTTATGTTTTGAACAACTTTTTCTTTTCTCACAAATGTCTTTTCCATTACAGTTTTAATTGGTTTAATTTCTAGCATATCATACTTTGAAACATTCAAAATAGACATATATTTTATAAATTTTGTATAATATTCTATATAATACTTATCATACAAATAGTATAGTCAGCAATTTTGTTGATTTAAATTTCTAAGCATAATTTTGAAACATTCAAAATAGACATATTTTATAAATTTTGTAAATCTATATAATACTTTTATACATACAAATGATATACAATTTTGTTGTGTGCCATTCTATTCTTCTCTAATGTTTTCTCTCCTCCCCCGCGCTCCCTCTCCTCCGCGCTCTCTCTCCTCGGCACTCTCTCTCTTCAGCCCACCCTCCCCTCTCTCTCCTCCTCCGCGCTCTCTCCCCCGCTCCCTCTCCTCCTCCCGCGCCCTCTCTCCTCTGCGATCCCTCCCCTCTCTCTTCTCCCCCCGCACCCTCTCTCCTCCCCGCTCTCTCTCCTCTGCGCGCCCGCTCGCTCTCCTTCTCCCGCACGCTCTCCTCCCTGCTCTCTCTCCTCGCTCCCTCTCCTCCCCCTCTCTCTCCTCCTCCCGCGCCCTCTCTCCTCCCTGCTCTCGCTCCCTCTCCTCCCCGCTCTCTCTCCTCCCTGCTCCCTCTCTCTCTCCTCCGCGATCCCTCCCCTCTCTCTCCTCCCCCACGCTCTCTCTCCTCCGTCCCCCCGCACCCTCTCTCTCTCTCTCCCCCTCTCTCTCTCTCTCTCCCCCCCTCTCTCTCTCTCTCTCTCTCTCTCTCCCCACTCTCTCCCCCCTCTTTCTCTGCCCCTCTAAACCGAAAAAAAGGAAAAAAAGTTAGAAAAATATATTTATTTAGAAAACGTTTACTAAGTTATAGTAAGTACCTCACGCGGTTTTATAGAGAAGACGATGATTCTTGACGCGCCGTGTTTGTTCTGACTCTTCACACCATCAGCGAGCGACAGTAACACCACCTGTTTTCAAAGACAACAAAATCAAAGATCAGTTCTACAGATTCTAACTATAACGAGAAATTTCGAATCAATAATAATAGTACTCGAATATCTGAGTTAAAACGAGAAATACAGAGGAGTAATAATCAGAACCATTAATAGAGTTCAGAGAGAGGGGTGCAGGAATATATTAAATAAAAGCACATACCTTTGTTTGTTTTTCTCTGTCGCCATAATCCGCTAGCTCTCTAGTCTCTACTACAGATTCTTAATCACTCTTTCTTTGGTTTTTTCTTTTGGTAATAAAGATTCTCTGTCTGTGAGAGATTTAACTGTAATAAGAAGGGGAAGGCAAGAGAAAGCGCTTGTCTTTTTATAAAGAAGAGAATGTAATAACAGAGTATTTGTCTGAGAGAGATTTAATTGTAATAAAAGAAGAGGAAGACAAGAGTGAGCGCTTGTCTTTTTATAAAGAAGAGAATGTAATAAAAGAGTTTCTGTCTGAAAGAGAATTAATTGTAATAAAAGAAGAGGAAGGCAAGAAAGAGCGCTTGTCTTTTTATAAAGAAGAAGAGCCAACAACAACGGCTCTATTACAACGGTCATATATTTGTAGTCGTTGGATGATACAGTTTGAGATTTAACGGCAGATAGACCACGGGAGGATTTTACGACTCTGAAAACCCATGTTCGACGAGACCAGGCCCGTCTCATTACATTTATGGGCCTTGTACTGAAAATTTGTTTCCACCTAAATTGTAGCTGTATTATTATGAACTAAGAGCACCCGCAACAATGGTTCTTAGGAAAAATCCTTAGGAAAAAAAAAAAAGGTATTTCGGATCATATAAGGATATTTCAGATTTTTTCTTTAAAAAAAAAAAACTGACCATTCACGGGCCGCCACGTGGGCAGTGGAGCCCGCAAATAGTGTAAGGATAAATCCTTAAATAAGGATTTGAAGGATATAATCCTTAACTGTTCACGGGACCTACTGATTATAAAATTAATATTTCTCTAAGGATTTCTGATAAGGACCCGTGGTTGCGGGTGCTCTAAGTGGTTATAATAAGAGTAAGTAAAGACGAATATAAATATATCATGGATTAATGGCCGTTTAATGTAAAAAAAAAATTATTATGGATTTAAGATAAATGATGACATAAGCAATAGAATTATTTTTTACATAATATAGTTATAAATATAAAAATAAAACGAAACATAGGCAATATAATAATAAAATGGTAAATAAAATTAGAAAAAAACAAATAAAAAATTACAATTCATGTGAGTGTCTTTAAATCAGAGATGAAATTCATAATACATTGTTTTGCTAGATAGAAAAATGTTTGGTTGTGATGTCGATGAATTTCAGTCCGTTAATATATATAGAAGATCAATTATAAGGTTTGGTTTATGAAAGATTAGAGAGAAAATAATATTATTTCACCACAATCAAATCAAATGAATCCCAATTTTAAAATTATGGAATTTAACATGATTAAGAAATCAACATATAGGGGTCAATATTAACTTTGTAAATTAATGTATATTAACCTGGTCAAATGTAACTTTGTAAAGGTATGAGTCAAAACTTTCCTATAATGATTCTTCGAATACTAATTTGTGATTATATAACGGGAAGTAATGCCATATATTTTCGTTATAGATTTGGCGGATTTGAAATTAACCTGATGGAATATAATTTTGTAAAGGTCTGAATCAAAATTTTCCTATAATAATTATTCAAATACTAATTTGTGAATATATAGCGGGAAGTAGTGTCATATATATCGTTATACATTTGGCTAATTTGAAGTTAACCTAATCGCATTTAACTTTAACTTGGTAAAGGTTTGAGTAAAAACTTTCCTATAGTAGTTCTTCGAAAAATAATTTGTAAATATATAACATGAAGTAATGCCATATATATCGTTATACATTTGGCTGATTTGAAATATTGGGAAAATATTACTAATCGGCATTGAAAGGTTGCGATCAAGCATGCATATTGTTAAATGACATATTTTGTATTTTATGAGATTCACATTCACATTCATATTCATGGAGTCTGAATGTTTATATACATATAGTTGTAAAATGAGATTCACATACAAACTAAACTTATAGATTATATAATAATATCTAGTCCCATTTATTAAAAAGCAGCTCAGTAAGTTATTATAAATTGTGGATTTTATCTAGTAACAACGAAATGTGTTATCAATACATATAAAAAGTAACACATCAATCCATATAAAAACTCATACATCAATATTAAATTTGTAGAATGAAAAGCATCCAATAAAAATAAAAATAAAAAATATATAATGAGATATAGACTTCAATACAATTGATATTGATTAGGTTGCAAGAAAAATACGACCAAGAAAAAAAAATATAAGCATGAAACCCATAATTAATACATCTTTAAATATCATATGAAAATAAAAATATACACATAAACCATAAGAACCAATTATAGTATACACTAATATAAAATTAAATGACTAATGGTACTATATGCAATTAGTCTTGGTAAAAAATAGTTATTTACTAAATACTATGAGGAAGACTCTCATGATAACACATAAGTAATTGTAATTTTGATAATAACACATGAAATAAACGTTTATTTTTTAGAATACTCTTCAAATAATAATAAAAGGATATAAGAGTTAATATTAAAACTGAGTGTGGTAAAAAAGAGGTTAATAAATCTAAATGATGCGATTTAATATAAATTAATAGAGGTAAACATATATATAAAAGTTTAGTGTGGTGTAAGTAAAAAACTATTGTGATATGGTATTGGTAAATTGTAGTTATTATTATAAGATTATTTTCAAAAAGCTTATAATAAAATAATAATATTATATACTACAACAAATTTATTAACTTATTATCATTATTGAAATTTGAATTTTCTAATTATTGACAAAAATATCCATATGGGCCAACACTACCCTGTCCACATACCCAACACAAATCCAAGTTTGAATATCAAGATAGGTTCTAATTAATGGGACCAGATGATAAATCAAACCTTGTACTTGTGTTCAGGACGATGAGTGAACTCAAAGTCAATATGAACAAAAGCTCTCTCGACCTCAGAGAGTTGCTCGAGCTTCTCCTGAAGAGTCTCTCCAATGTTGTGAGCTTCGTGCAGCCTCATGTCCTCTGGCAAAACAATGTCCACTTCAACAAAGTAGTGTGACCCAAACGTGTAGGCTCTTACTGTATCAATGTGTTTAATCTTCTCATGATGGTTCCATATCAAGAACGTTAGTTTCGCCAAGAAATCAGGTGGTGCAGAGCGTCCAATAAGAGAATGAACATTCTCTAGTACCGTTCTTGCCCATGTACTGATTGTATACAAAGCAATCTGAAACCATAAAGAACAATAGTTTTCTCAATTATAAGCCATAAGAGACGTTTTCAAGAATCTGTAAGGTTGATGATTTTGCTTACAAGAATAGCACCAGAGGGATCAATCCACCAGTAGAATTTTACAGCCAAGACTGCAGTTGCTAAACCCACTGAGTTGGTGACAACGTCAAAGAGGTGATCTTGTGCATAGGCCCTGACGATTTCATTCTGAAAACTTCTGCAGTAAAGCATGAGAAGAAACTTGACGACTGTAGCAGAAGCCATTATTCCAATCATCCACTTTTCCTCGGTGATGCTCATATGAGGACCTTCCTGTACAAATAGTAAATATTTAGATCTCATATACATGATGATGCCACTGCTAGTTATATTTTACCTTGGAGACCAGTAGCCTAGTTGACTCTAGCAACACTTGTAGCCCAAGAGTTGCCATGACAGATGCAAACACAATGATCCCCTGCCAAAATTCAAGAACCATACATGATTTTTACTTTGATGAAAAACATATCTTATTTGAAGAGAGTTATAGAGTACAGAGAGGCTATATGTTACCACAGGTTGCATCCTTCGTTTACCGATAGGATAGTGGAAATGGTTTGGTTTTCTCATGGCGTTTGCAGTAAACCATAGAATAAAACCAGACAAGAGATCCAAGAGAGAGTCCAAAGTTGAAGCAATCACAGCCATAGATCTACTCTCCACAGAAGCATAAACCTTTGCTACAAACAGGATAAGGTTTGCTGCGTTTGAGATGTGCACTGCAAGCCTCTCACTCTTGGCAAGCTTCTTCAGCTCTTCCTGTTGAAAATCAATCCTCAAGATGCTAGATAGAGATAAAGAGAGACAGAGAGGAAGATTCCAGAAGATAAGTAATGAAAAGCATAAGAGTGAACCTCAGATGGAGCTCCAGAGACAAAACCAGTTTCATTGATTGTCTCCATCTCATTGAAACCTTCAAGCAGCTTCTCTTGCTTCTTGTAGTACTCAGAGACTTTTCGTTCCTTTTCTGATTTCCGACAAGAAAGAAAAGTAAAACCCATATGTCTTAAGATTATGTATCCGTTCACTGATGATTTAAAGCATATATATATAGAGACACATCCATGATGGATTTTTACCATCTTCCTATCAACCTACAATGCGTAAAACCTCAGCAGAATATGATACTGCGTCCTCTTAACACTTATCACCATTGCTTAAACAACTAAAGAGATATAGAGAATCGAACATATGCTCCATGTTCGGAAAGAGAGAATCTATCATCAAAATCTTGATCACTTTAAATCATGAGTACACTAGAATTCTCTCTAGATAACAATATGTTTACTTGGATAGCAATTAATCACGGAAAAATGTATGTAGGGTTAAGTTTCTAAAATCAGTTTGCCATACAAAAATTAAAGAACAAGGACGATGAAGGAAACGTACTTGGAGTCTGGAGATAACGGGACAAGCGAGTACGGCGAGAGGACGCGGGAGAAGAAGAAGGGAGCTGGAACGTGTCGAGTTTGAGACGCCATGAAGAGGGTGGAGACGAGTGGTCATCGTCGGTCGGAAGAAGGTCGACAATGTAGTCCTGTCCACTAACGGCGAGATGCTCCGTCGTGGTGGCCATATTCGATATCTTGTTCTCTGCTGATTTTTTGGAGGAAGTTACGTGAGAAACAAAATATTGTTGCTTCTTTCTTGGATTTAATAGTTCTCACATATGCCACGTATATTTATATATATATCAATAGTGTATATTAAAATTTTGTTTATATAAAAATCAAATTCAGACTATTCTTTTTATAGAAAACGTATATTTGAGAGAAATTTGTTATTATCAGGAATATGAGGGAGATGGTTATGCACCAAGCAAATACATCTTTGATAAAGAGAAGAAGAAGAGCATACGTGGTGGCTGTGTGGTGCAAAAGTAGTGGACCATTTCTTTTCTCTAGTGTAGCTGAACGAGGAGTATTGTCCACTTATAAAAAACTTCAGATAAACATAGATAATATCCAAGTTATTAGTAATAAATTTAGAAATAAGACAGAGCAAGAAATGTAGACCTGTGGTTGCGTGGACAGTTTCAAGATCACCCCCAAGGCATCTCAGCTGAGCAAGAGATAAAATGATGTTATGTATCATTCTTTGTCCAAGCTTGTGAACTTGCATCTGGTCCACATCGAAGAATCACAGAGAAAACAAGCATGCAATTTCTTTTTATGATATGAACAAACCAATAATAAACGATTCAGGGAACTGCATTATTCTACAGACAAACTATTTGTCCCTATATGGAGATTCAGACACATTTTGGAACATGTTTTGGGACAAAACAACATAATCAGACATGTTTAGACTTTATTTCAAAGAGATGTTTATTTAACATCATACAGAACAAATCAGTGTACACTAGTGAAAATTTTCAAGAACGCCTCTGTAAAAATAAAGCCTACAACGCATTTACGTATTACCATTCTTTCCTTCTAACCTTCTTACACTCAGTCTTCTCTTTTTTTCCTCGAGCTTCTGGTTTCAGAGAGATTCGTCTACTCTACTGTAATGCTTAAGCTAAAGAGAGGTGTAACCAAACTAAAATTCTCTTCCCAACAAACCTTGATGTATCATTTCATTACCTAAGGATCTATCAGGGCCCAACCTTTTCTTCTATGTCTAAGATGTTTCAAAAGCCTGAAACGAAGAAGCATCGAGTAAACATCATACCCTGCAAGTTCCATTCTCATTATAAGATGAGAAACAATCTCCATTCTGTTTCTTAATTGCAGGAGAGAGCTAAGGAGATAATTGCAAACTCTAGGCATCAGCTTGAAGTTGTTATCTAGAGTGTATGAGAACACATCTACTGCTGCATCAAGTTGTTCTCTTTTGCAGAGTCCATGAATCAATTTGACGCAGCTTGGAGGTGTGATGAGGATCTTCTTCTCCCTTAAAACCGAAAACACCATCAAGGCCTCTTTAAATCTCCCGGATTGGCATAACTCTATCAGCCATATTGGGTAAGGTCGGTCACTGAGTTGTTCTCTTCTGGTATCCAATTCGATTACTCGTCTTATAGCTCTCTCTGTTTCCCCTTCCTTGAAACATTGTTCAATCTCATTAGCTGCTTCATCGTCCAGACAAGATATCTTCTTCAGGCATTTCATCCATAGGCTAAAAGCCACCATGATCTTTCTTTTCCGACAAGACCATTTCATGAGCGATCTGTAAACCGCCAGACTGTGTCTAAAGTCATTTTTAGCGTAAAAGAGTTTAAAAGCTTCTTCCTCTCTGCCAACTCTGTGAAGTCCGTTGATGAGAGTGTTGTAAGTGACGCTGTCAGGGGATAAACCTTTTAGCTGAAGCACATTGAGAAGCTTGAGAGCACCATCAATGTTTTCCGGTTACTGTAACAACAACCTGGCTTCCTTGAGCTCACCGGACTTGCAGAGTCCATCTATTAAAGCATTAAACGTAGCAACCGAAGGAGAACAACATCTCTTCTCAATCTCCTTGAAATTTTTTCCAGCTTTCCTAACTAGTCCATTCCTGCACATACTACAAATGAGAATCGTGTCTGTGAACTCATCAGGGAAAAACTCCGTTTCCGACATCTCAAGATGAAGTGACCGAGCCTCTTCCAACAGTACGTATCCGGGAGAATGCCCTTACTCGGCATGCTACTTAACAGCTTTAGTGCATCCCCAGTCTTCCCAGCTTTGGATAACCCTTGAATCAATATTGTGTACAAAACAACATCAGGCTTGATATTTTTCTTCAACAAAATTTCATACAACTCAAACCCCTCATCGTATCTCCTATAGCTCTAAACAATCCATCAATCAAGCTGCTATAACCTCTAAGGCCAAGTACAAAACCATCTTTCTTAAACAATCTCAACAGCTCAAATGCATCAACCATTCTACCTTACAAAACCCATCAAGCAAAGCATTGCACACAACAGAATCAGGATCATGACTCGTGAAACAGCTTTCTTGTATCTTCAACACAAGAAATAAGAATCGTGTAAGTAACTCTGTTAGGAGAAATCCCTCTACATATCATCGAACACCTTCTGTGCATCACCCACCCTCCCTTTCTTATACAACCCATCCATCAAAATACCAAACGTGTATGGATTAGGTGCACAATTACACTTCAACATCTCATTATACACCACGTTGTAAGTCAACAACATCGGGTCTGCAATCATTATATTGTTTTGGGGTTCCCTATTGCTTTAACAGAACTAAACTGTTACAAAAAATTTGAACTTAATGACTTTGATGGAGTAAAGTAACTCCTCCAAAAATAGGTGTATGCCATTTAGTATAGAGAGCACACGGTATCTTATATATTAAAACAGAAGTCATGACTTGACTTCATGTGTGATTTTTTTTTTAAAATAGACTATTACTAGAAAGTCATGTTACATTAACTCCTTAATAATCTTATCATTATTATACCTTATGAAAAATGATATCTATAATAACAAAGATACGCTTAACAATTTGGTTTTGGTAAATTACCCCCACACCTTCCAACTTAGTCATGCAAAATATGTCAATAGATATAAGTTTAGGAATCTTCTATTATTTATAAGCAAATATGTCAATAATATTTAAATGCATCCACAATATATTACCAAAAATCACAGATTCGTAATATGAAATATTTATATAGCCTAATAAAATTTACACGCTATATATATTAGATAAATTTATTTCAATGTAAAATTTTGAAATTATATTGTTTTTTTTAAAAAAAAAATTGTTTAAAAATTTCCTTTTTAATAATTTTTTTTTATAATATTAATTTATGAAGCTATAAGTTTAGTTTTTAGCAAAAATTTATTCGAAGTTTATATTAACTTTGCAAATTAAAGTATACTAATATTTAATCGAGCTCTATTTATATTACATTATCTAAAAATGAAAGACCAATCTAACAAACAATAAAATATAGAATAAGAAACAAACACATGTTTGAAAAACATGTATAATATAAAAAAAATTGAAACAATCTATTTGATTAAAACACATATTAAATAATATTATTATGTTTAAATTTTTTTTACTATATATATTGTAAATATGTGATTACTATAATATATACCAATTTACAAGTGAAAACAAAATGTTTATATAACTAACTATAAATAAAAACAAACATCCGCGCGGTTGCGCGGGTCAAAATCTAGTTCTTTAGTAAAAGGCGAAAGAATAGTTCGCTTTGTGCTCACTACATGGCTCCATGAGTTGAATCAGTGATGTATCAGATGGTTTTATGCATGAATCATTCGATGTCTATGTTTGCTTTTATTCGATGTGGGATAGTTTTAGTGGTGTGAACTGGGCTCATGGGCCGTTCTGATACTCTTTTTTCTTTTACCAATACACTTCAGATGCACTGTGTTTCTTTGTTTAGTAACAGTGTGTTTTTTTTTTTTTTTTTTTTTCTTTTTTTGAATTGAATGTTAAATTTAATTCAAAAAGAAAAAACCTTGTTACAACAATGTGTGTCCTTTTATATGATCTCTAAAAAATATAAACTCAAAAACAAAGTGTAAGATCTTTCTCAAGCCATTCCCAAACTTCTCTCACCATCCAATTTCAACCACCCAACCTAGCTCTCACTCTTACTAGGTACCTAGCACTCACTCCTACTAGGCTTTCACTACCCAGCCCTCACTCCTACTGAGCCCCCAGCTCTCACTCCTACTGGGGTATCCAAATGCAGTACTCTTGTCTCAAACCAATACTGCATCCCTTTATCAAACTTGTCATCGCCATGTCTTTGTATCAATGTGAGCTTGTTTCTCATATTCTTGTCCAAGCGTTGAGCTAAAAGAGAAGCCGGAGTGTCTACTTCACCATGTCTTCTCCGATTCCTTTCACACCAAACCATATACACTGTGGCTTGAAACATGTATTTGATGATGAAAACCTGCAGCCTACTTCTTGATTTATCCCTCATAATAGCCAGCAACTCATCCCAACAACCAGTATAGCTGTCTTTTAGAACTCCTTTCATCAGCTTTTCCCATATGTGAGCCGTATAAGGGCAATTAAAAAACAGATGGTCAAGTGATTCCAACGGATCTGTACAAAACACACAAGAAACCGCAGAAACACCTTTCCAACTTGTAACAGTGTGTTTAACACCACTGAGTTTATTTGTTGTGAATGTTTTTTAACAGTGTGTAACAGTGTAACAGTGTGTATAACCGTATAATGTTTTTGTAGCAAAGAGAGATAATCATCCAGAAAAGAACTGATAACTGGTTGAAATCGGCATGGATTTATCATTCAGAGTTTCATCTGTTTCTTTTATTAGAGAAAGGCAACAAACTATAAAAAAAAAACTCAAAAAACGTGGCTGGCTCATCTGGTCACAATAAACCCAGACTTACACACGAGAAATGAAAGTTGAAGACTCTCAAGCGTCGTCGAGAGCGAGGACTCCTGGAAGTGGCTTTCCTTCAAGAAGCTCCAAACTTGCACCACCTCCAGTTGAGATGTGGCTCATCTTGTCGGCCAAACCAACCTTCTCAACGGCAGCCACAGAGTCACCTCCTCCTATGATTGTGGTCACTCCCTTTCCGCTCAGCTCTGCAAGCTGCTTTGCTACGGCCTAGTGATAAAACAAGACAAAGAGATCAGGTTACTTCACTAGTTACAACGAATCTATGGTTGCAGTACTAGTTGCTCGTACCTCAGTTCCAGCAGCAAACTTATCGAATTCAAAAACACCCATGGGACCATTCCAGATGATAGTCTTGGTTGTGTCCAAAGCTTCACTGAATGTCTTGATGGAGTCTGGACCGATATCGAGTCCCATCC